AATATGTGACCTACAGAGAGCCTTATGTCTGGTTTAGTTTGCCTAGGCTAGGTGACCTTCAAGATTCCTTCTACCTCAAGGTCAATCTTGAGGTCAATTTCTTGTCTATGACAAGAACTACGAAAAGAATGGAAGCTGGAGAGAGTGCTACTTAGCCCCTTTAATTTTACATTTGTTGGCAGCCATGGGTTTCATTTGGCCCCTTTTGTGTGACTCGATACAAAATAGTACTTCTGTAGCCTGCCCTTCCTGGATCATTGCTCTGTCGTGGTGGAGGGGCTTTCATAGCTCAATGAAACTATGAGCTATGCCACACAGGATTACCCACAACAGACAGGTCATAGTGGAGGGTTCTGACAAAAGGTGATCCACTGGAGAAAGAAATGGCAAACCAATTCAGTATCTTTGCCAAGAAAACCCCCAAGGGCAGTATTAAAATGCTAAAAGATATGACACTGGAAGAAGAGCCCCTTAGATCAGAAGCTGTACATAAGGGCCTGGCATGCTTCGGGGGGTCACAAACAGTCAGACATGACTGAATGACTTGACAACACCAGCCTTCATAGGGGGGTTGTATAGAATCCTTCTGCCCAGACTCTTGTAATAGGACTCAAGTGGTATAGTTTGCTCTCTCAGCACAGACCTCCCCAGCACTTAGGCATCCTGACACTCTTGGACAGAAAGGATTTCCATTTATAAGCAAAAAGTCACAGTGATCCACACGTACTGGCACAAAGCCTTTAACTGATCATTACAAGACAGACCCCACAGACAAACCCATTGCCTTCTTAAACCACTACATTAACCTTGAGTGTGTAACTTGTTATGTACTAATGGTTTGGCTAATTCCCCTCTACAGTGTTTACTGATTCTAATAGCACTCATTATTCATTCAGAAAGTGAATTATTTTACCCACATTACTGTCCAGGCTATGTTATCATGTCCTCCTGATGAGAAGTTTTAAGATTTCTGCAACAGTGAAACCAGAGAAGGAGCTGGGGAGGTAGAGGTTGGGTTGTAAGTTTTCCAAATTAGAAACAGATGCATGTAACATGTATAAATAGGTAGCACCTCTGGTGCCCAGCCAATACTCCAGGCAGAGTCCGCCATTAGACCAATCGCTACAGTGAGACCTCAAAGTAGCTCCGAGAAAATTCCTGCCCCTAGAAGTGCTCCCTTTGTGATTTGATTCTCAAGCATCAACATCTCCCAGCAAACTTTCTCAGCTGTCTCCTTCCCACCACAGAAGTAATCAACACATAGCAATAAAAGCTTTTACAGTGCCATCCTGTCTGTGATCAGCAAAGTCATAAAAAGCATGGAAGGCAATTGATTTCTGGCATTAATTGTGAGTGAGAGCAACACAATGCATCTTCACAAAGTTTCCATGCAGGACCATCTCATGTTACAATTCTCAAAAAAAAAAGAACTGGAGACAAAGACCCAACACACTTTTTAAATAACCATGTGGCCCAAAAAAGTGAGTTCCTGAACTTTTCCAGACTTATTAGCTTCCATAAACAGAGATTTGAATAAATGTTTAAAAAGCTAAATTCCCTGGATGGCCTGTAATCAGTAAATGTTCATTACTGAAACACAGCAAATATGCATGAAATTTCCCAAGTGACATTCTGCTTACAAGATTAAAAAGGCACATCAGAAAGCAACTCAAGTTACAAAACATCTTCCTCCAGATGCCGGCAGAGAGCAAACTTCCCCAAACCCAAAGGTCACACGGGCCCAGCTTGGATCTTCTGTGTTTTGGCAGTGACAGGAAATCAGAAGGAGCCTTGCCTTCTCAGCCTGGGTGATTTATAAATAAGTCATCCACACTTGCTGATTGATGTCTCCGTGTAAATAATTAATCCTTGACCTTACACTGAGAAAGCCTTGACTTTTTAATTTGGGGTCTTTTAAAAAAATCAATGCTGAGGAAACATAATTCACTCTCACACAGTCTGGGTCCTGGGTAAATAAATATCCTGTCGAGGCATCAGGGCAGGGTGGCCTGGGCTTGGAGTGTAAGTCCCTACACAAATGGCACACAGAAGGGGGTACAGCTGGGTGATGGGAAAGGAGGGGCATTTTTCACCCAGTAAGTGTTTCATGTTAATCAATTATTGATTATCCATTTCTCAGGGGCTGGGTTCTGGTTGTTCCTGATAGGTTATTCTCTAGGCATCACATCTAAATTGGAGCTCCTGATATCACTACGTAGCCAAAAGACAAGTAGGCCCCCAGCTCAGGCTGCAACTTCCATTCACTTTCCATCCCTCAGTCATTCTACGAATATACTTTCCTCAGTCTGAGAGCTCCAGGCACCCAGAATCTCTTCTATTCTCTTTGGCTGGGTGGAGGGAGCAGGTGTCGGTAGAAGTTTAATTTAGAAGCTCATGAATTCAAAAGAGGAGCTGCGTATTTATCCCTCCTACCTCACAAAGCTGCTACCAGGAAGCCAGAACAGAGAATTATGAAAAGGTATCTTCTGTTCCCCCCCCTTCCCCACCAGCATTAGTCCAAGGTGAAGCAAAGAACACTTTGCTTTCAGGGTTATCATCCAGAGAAGAGAAAGTGGTTATTCCATTTCTAGGTGTCTCTCAGACTCCACCCACCCTGGGGACACTTGAAATCACAGAACCTTGGGGGCTGTTAAGGGACCTCAAGTATCATGGGAATCCTAGATTCAGAGCTAGAAGGAATGGATCTTAGAGGTCATGTAGTCTAACTCCCTCATTTAAGAGAGGTTAAGTGACTTGGTCAAGGTCACCCAGATGGCAAATGGCATAGATAGGATTTTAATCTATGTCCTCTGACTCCGAATCCAACACTTCCCTTCCAACTGCTTTGTTCCCCTCTCCCCCACTGCACCATGTTGCTGCTGCTTAGTGTGGAGTCTGAAAGAGGCAGTAAAAGTCTAGATTTCAGACTCTCTGTTAAGGCACATCTAACCCCAAGAGGGGCCCAGACGATCCCAACACCAAAGAGCAGCTCTCCCTTTGTTCCCTCGTTGCACTAACCATTTCTATTTGGAGAAACCATAGCATCTGGGAAAACCCAAATAGATAGGCCTTGCATTCAAGTTTGAATGGCCAAGAAAATGTAGAATTCGAGAGGCAGACAACATCAACTGTTGGTCCCTCAGCTGCAAGGACTTTGAAGGTAGGGCACCAATTCCCTGTCATGGACTATCAGACCTGGAACAGGCCTAAGGGATTGTCAAATGAGGCTCTGAAGAGGAAAGGATTTGCAAATCCTTTTCTCTTCAGGGCCTCATTGCGTGGTGAGTTTATATTAATAAAAGAGTTGGGGTTTCCCAACTGCCAGTCTCTTTCCAATAAATCACACTGTTCATGGTGGACACTAATCCGAAAACTTCCATCAGGCACTCAAGGGGCCAGAGTGGAAGAGTGAGTGACTCTGCACTTCACAAAGAAAGGTGATCCCCAGATCCCCTTTACAGCCTGAAAGTCCCACTCCAACTCAGTCTTCTAATGACAGGATCTGAGTGGGAGAAGTCTTCCTCTTCTGGTAGGAATAAGTGAGATGGAAGACTCGAGAGGGAGCCCCTCTCACTGAAGGTTCTTGTAGGTACCCTGGTAACAACAGCTACTTAAAGGGGAGCTAGTTAAAGAAGGAGGGTGTGATGAGGAAAAGATACACTTGGAGGGAAAAAATGGTTTCAAGAAGAGAGAGCACTTCTGGGGAAAGGAGAAGTATGCCTCAAAATGGGCAATTTTTTTTAAAGCCCTGCTTCAAGCCCTCTAACCCTGAACTTCCACTTCGCTGCACAATAACGAGCCGCCTCGTTGCTCAACCTGTAGTAGAGCAGAAGACTCCAGACCCCGCCAGTGTCTGAGGCTCACCGCCGCTGGGACCAGAGGTGTAAACCGAGCAGATCACTTCTCTGTACTGTGGGTCCTGTCCCCAGGATCGAGGGCTAAGAATGCCCAAGGAGCGCTAGAGATATGCCCAGATGCCTGTGCCTCTTACCTGACCACGGAGGTCCGACTTCACTAAGCTTTCTCCACCCAGCCAAAAGGGGGAGCAAGGGAACCCCCTCCTGAATTCAAACCAAATTCATTTAGACACAAACGTGCACCAAACCAGCTTGAGGATACCGGAAAAAGACAAATTTTTAGGGATGTGGAAGGCATGGGGGACCACAATAATTTATATCTCATAAGTAAAGCTCAAGTTGCTAAATACTGAAAAAAAATAGAGAGAGAGAGAGTAAAAATAAGCCCAGTAGTTTTCTACTTATTGAGATTCTCTTCCACTTCCAGCCACCTCTAAATAAAATTCTGGTATTAAAAAGACATCACCAACCACATCACACATTTCCTGAAAGAAAAAACCCACCATAAAACAAATCAAAACCTTGCCAAACACCTGGGTTAAGAACGCGTCCGGAGCTTTCAGTCCCCAGAAGCGGTTTCCTATAGGTTATAAACCCTAGGAAATAAGGGACATAGTCTCCCCTCTCTGCTTCCAACTCTTGTACCGAAGAGGGGATGAAAGCCCACCCAGCTTTGGCTCCAGCATGTCACATTCCCTCTTCCCCCCAAAACCCTGCTCAATCTGTATACCTTCCTTCCACTCACCCACCCCCGACCCTAGCTCTTACTGAGAGAGGCGAGTGTGTTCCGGGGTAACTCGACCCAGCCCGGAGAAAGGCAGCGCTCGTCCACCTATCTGCACTTTAATGAGTTTTCATTTTATTTAAAGTTCCCGCAGCCCGGGCGCCCCTTCTTTCCCCAAAGTGCCGGGCTAACGTCACAAAAAGCCTCAGCGGGCCCCTTCCGAGCAGAGAGAGGGCGGCAAAGCCGCTGAGCGGGAGAGAAGGCTGGGCTGGAGGGAAGGAAACTCGCGCAACCCGGCCAACCACCTACCTCCTCCTCCGTCTGCCTAGGGGCGCCGCGGCCCTGCCCCAGGCGGAAGGGGGAGGGCAGGGGGCGCCGGGAAAGCCGCGCGGGGTTGGGGCGCGCAGCTACTCACTCACCTGACCAAGCAGTGGTAGCGAGTAGCAGCAGTAGAGGCGGCGGCAGCGGCAGCGGCAGCGGCAGCAGGCGCTGAAGTCCCAGAGCAGCTGGCGCCTCCAGCCCAGGGGGACTCAAGGATATGTCCTCGGCGACTGTTTCTCCTCTTTCCAGAGCCCAAGCGGCGCCCGCTCCTGCCCCCGGCCGGCTCACTCCTCTCCGGGCAGCCGGGAGCGTCCACCAGCCTTGCCCAGCCCAGCCCAACCCAGCCCAGCCCAGCCTAGCCTAGCCCAGCTGGTGCAACCGATTCCAGCGAGTGCAGCCGAGCCTAGCTCTCCTCAGCGCCTGCTCCTGCTCCGGTTCGGGCTCGAACTCAAGCAGCTCAGCCCTGCGCCCAGCTCCTGGCTCCCGGCTTCTGACCAACGGGAACAAACTCGGCTGGGGAGGAGAAAGTGGGACAGGCAATCCGGGGGAAGAGGCTGCTGCTTCCCTCTATTTCCCTCCCGTCCTTCCTCTCTCCTTTTCTTCCTTCCTCCTTCTCCCTCTTCCACCCACCTTTTTTCCTTCCACCCCTCTGCTCCCTCTCTCCTGCCTCCACCGCCGCCGGTCCGGCTCCTTAGCTGGGAAGACTCCCAGCAAAGTGATGCTGTTGCCTCGAGGAGCGGCTGGGAATAGCGCCCCCGCCCATCCCTGGGAGGAGGGGGCCCAGGGACACTCCGCCCAGCTTCTGCCTGCTGCTGCCTCCTTATCTCCCTCCCTCCTTCCGCAAAGCCCAGCTAAGGAGAGGAGGGAAGGACTGGCCCACCAGCGTTGGGTCACCTAGCCTTTGCTTCTGCGTCTGGGGAGGCCAGAGGCTCGCTCCTGGCCGCAGCTCTGGGGTGTGCCTAGGTGCGCTGTGCTGGGCGCGAAGGTGCGGGCTTCCGGGCGCGGCGCCGCGCGGAGCTTTCGGAATCTCCGAGTCAGTGCCTGCGTTCCTAATAGGGACGTAGTCGAAGAATTCGGGCAAGGTTAGGGTTTGAGGCAAGGCGAAGTGCGGGGGGATGGAGCTGGGTGGGCTTTGGGTGGGGAGGCAAAGCAGACAGGGAGGAAGTGAGGGAGTGGTACGATTTGGGATCGAGCTCTTCTGGTCCTGGCGTTCACCGATCCCAAAAGCAGAATAGCCTCTCCTTGGCCCTCCTCTCCCTTGAGGTTTTAACTTTCAGGGAGCAGCCCCTATGGGTTTGGCTGAGACGACAGGCTCCTGAAGGTACCGGTTGGTACCCAGAGCCTCGATCTGTGCCCTCCTGATCCCAGAGTGTCATGTCCTAAACCACCCTCACCCCGACCCGCCAGCTGTAACTTTGGTCACTATCCTCAGGGACCATAGCCTGGGGACGTGGGTTCACTGCCAGGCAAGGAGCATGCTCGGTTCAGGCCTTAACTGGAGATAGAGGGCATCTGCCAACTAGCCCCTAACCTGCCTGCTTCCAGCACCAAAGGAATGGGCAGGGTTCCAAGAATAAGCCAAAATGTCCCTGCCTCTCAGTGCCAATCCCCAGGACTCAAAGCCTGTCTGAGACCTTGTAGACCGTGTGGTTAATAGGACCTGGACCACAGGACAAGAAAGTCCCTGTGTTTGTGGGGAAGAATAGAAGTTCATTAGGAAATATTTAAAAATTTCCCTTTGGGGGACCAGACCCTCTCCAGTCCAGAATATGCTTGCGTCATGAGCTACAAGATAGTAATTATATTTCTGTTTGATGCATTGAACTTTTCAAAGAGTGATCACATTTGGGGTCTGATTCCGAAGGAAGAGAGGCTGCTTCTTTTGCAGCCTGGGACCAAATGCCTTCTAGGCTACTTTTACAGCTAGGTGGCATAGTGAATAGAGCCCTGAACTTGGAGGCAGGAAGACCTGAGTTCCAAACCTGCTTCAGATTTACTGTCTGTATTTAAAAAAAAATTATTATCTATGTGACTCTGGGCAAGTTATTTAATCTCTTAGCCTCAGTTTCCCCATCTGTAAAATGGAGATAATAGTGCTTCCTTCACAGGGTTGCTGTGAGGATCAGATGAGTTAATATATGTAAAATGTTTTGCAAACTCTAAAGTCTATGTAAATGCTAGCTATTATTATTATTACCATCTACAATATTACACTCTCTACCCTCAGGATAATTGTGATGGAGAAAAAGTAAAAAGTAAATTGGCCACCTCCATCTTACCGAGTTACTTTACCAGAATAAACGACCTCCTTCACTTTTCCAACCACCATTTTGTCTCAGACTTCCAGTCCACTCCAAAAAACTAGTACTTGTCCTTTCCAATGACTGGTAACCTCTTACCTCTTGCTCCCCAAATCCCTGAATTGCTGTCTGAAGCCATTCTCTTTCTACTTCCTGAACTTTCATCTGTATCTGGATCAGTATTACCTCTCCTCAGTTCCTACCTTTTTCTTCCCTCCACTTTTACTCTCTTAACTCTTCAAAGTATGGCTTACAATCTTATACAACAGAAACTACTCTCTCCAAAGTTATTAATGATCTTTGAATTGCCAAAACGAATCCTTTTAATTGCCAAAACTAATGCTAATTAATTACCTTTTCTAATCCTCATCCTTTTTGACCTCTAAAGTCTTTGATACTATTGATCACCCTCTTCTCTTTGTGACAATGCTCTCTCTTGGTTTTCCTACTTGTATGACCATTCCTTCTGTTTCCTTTGCTGGATCTTTATCCACCTTGATCTGATAATGGTAGGGATTCTTCAAGGCTCTTTCTTGGACCCTCTTCTCTTCTACCTCTATGTCATTTCATTTGGTGATCTCATCAGCTGCCACGGTTTCAATTATCTCTACAAATGACTCTCAAATCTACTTGTATAGTCATAATCTCCCAACTTCTAGGTTCAAATCTCCAGTTTCCTAGTAGACATCTCAAATTGGATGTCCCATAGATGTCTTAAGCTGATTGTGTCTGGAATGGAACTCGTTATCTATCCCTCCAACCTTCTCCACTTTATAACTTTCTTTCCACTGTTAAGTGTACCATCACCCCTGCTCACAACTTAGGTGCCATCCTTGACTTCTCTCTCTCACTCCTCCCATATCCAATCATTGGTCAACTCTTGTCATTTCCACCTTGATATCTCTCATCTATGTCCCCTTCTCTCCTCTGACACTACCACCACCCTGGTCCAAGCCCTCATCACCTTATTCTTGGACTATTGCAATAGCTTGTTGGTTGGTCTCTTTGCTACAAATCTCTCTATTCCACTCTGTCCTATCAAATTGGTCTTCCTAAAGTACAGGTCTGACCATATCAATCCCCTGTTCAAAAAACTCCAGTGTCTCTATTACCTCCCAGGTCAAATATAAAATCCTCTATCTTTCAAAGCTTTTTAGATAACCTGACCCTTTTCTACCTTCCCAGTCTTCTTATACCTTACTCCTCTCAATGTACTCTATGATCTCCTTGCTGTTCCTCAAACAAGACACTTCCTCTTCCAACCCTAAGCATTTCCCCTGGCTGTCCCCTGTGCATGCAGTGCCCTCCTTCATTTTCATCCCTTAGCCTCCCCTGGCTCTCTTCAAGCTGCAGCTGAAATCCCACCTCTTGCAAGAATCCCTGCCTAGATGTTCATCAGTTGGGGAACGGCTGAACAAGTTGTGTCATATGATTGCAATGGAATACTATTGTGCTATAAGAAATGATGAGCAGGATGCTTTCATAAAAACCTGGAAAGACTTACATAAACTGATGCAAAATGAAGCAGCAAAACCAGAAGAACACTGTACATAGTAACAGCAAAACCGTACAATGATCAACTATGAATGACTTGGCTATTCTCAACAATAAAATGATTCAAGACAATTTCAAAGGACTCATGATGAAAAATACTATCCACCTCCAAAGAAAGAACTGATAGTACAAGAATGTAGACCAAAGCATATTAATTTTTTACTTTATTTTTATTTTTTAGTCTGTTTTCTTTTACAACATGACTAATATGTTTTGCGTGATAATATGTTTTGTGTGATTACATATGTATAATTTGTATTAAATTACTGTCTCAGGGAGGGAGGGGAGAAGTGGAGGTATGGAGAGAATTTGAAACTAAGATATTTTTAAAAGAATGTTAAAAATTATTTTTACATGCTATTGGGAAAAAACAAAATATTATTTAATTAAAAAAAAGAATCCCTTCTCAGTCCTCCTTAGTCCTAGTACCTTCCCTCCGAGATTATCCCCAAATTATCCTGTATAAATCTTGTTTAAACGTAGTTGTTTGTATGTTGTCTCTTCCATTACACTGTGAGCTCTTTGAGAATAGGGACTGGTTTTTTTTCCCCCTTTCTTTGTATCCTTGGTGCTTAGTATAGTGCCTTGGCACATAGTAGGTGCTTAATAAATGATTATCAGTTGACTGACTGATTCTTCCCTCCTGCAGTTCTCTTTGGAACCCTTGTTCTATCATTAGCAAATTCCCCTTTATCCTAGGTTTCTTCTACTCTTTTCATGTTCTGAGACTCATGGAAACTGAAATTCATCAGAAAATATTTTAGTTCTTTGTCAGTCTTATCAATGCTAGCTGCTCCTTCTTCTTCCTTTTCTTTTTTGGCAAGGCAATTGGGGTTAAGTGACTTGCCTAGGGTCACATAGCTAGTTAAGTGTCAAATGTCTGAAACTGGATTTGAACTCAAGTCATCCTGAGTCCAGGACCAGTGCTGTATCCACTAGCTGCCCCACTACCTGCTCCTTCTTTTATATCCCCTGACACTTTGAGGCTAGAAGGAACTGGCATTTTCTTTTCTCTCTGCTGCCCCTTCCAGAGTCTCCTCTACTTCTTTCTCTCAGCAACTACTCTGTTTTTGAAATTCACTCCAATCATCTATGTCATCCTGTTCAGAGTCTTGTTGCTCTCATCTACTGGCCTCCAGATAACTTTCCCTCCTTTCTCAAGGAGTGCTCATAATTACCTTTTTTTGCCTCAACTCCTGCCCTCATCCTTGGGCATTTCAGTATTACTTATATCACTTCAAATACTTTGGCTTCTTAGGTTATCAGCCTTCTGAACCTCTATCACCTACATGTCACTCAGCCGCAGCCACCAAGAAGTGATCACATCCTCAACCCCGCCCAATTATTCTATGTCTATGATTTCAAAACACTGAAATACTTCTCTCCATAGGCATACCTTGTTTTATAGCACTTTACTTTATTGCATTTTGCAGATATTGCATTTTTTTACAAATTGAAGGTTTGGGGCAACCCTTCATCCAGCAAGTTGATGGGTGCCATTTTTCCCAAATATGTGCTTACGTCATGTCTCTGTGTCACATTTTGGTAATTCTCACATTATTTCAAACTTTTCTATTATTATTATATCTGTTATGGCAATTTATGATCAATGATCTTTGATGTTACAATTGTAATTGTTTTGGGATGCCACCAACTGCACCCATAGAAGACGGCAAATTAAACGTGTGTGTTCTGACTGCTCTACCGACTCTCTGTTCCCCATCTCTCTCCCTTTCCTATGGCATCCCTATTCCCTGAGACACCGCAATATTGAAATTAGGTCAATTAATAACCCTACAATGGCCTCTTAAGTGTTCAAGTGAAAGGAAGAGTCAATAGATGCAGCAAACTTCATTGTCATCTTATTTTAAGAAATTGCTATAGCTACCCCAACGTTCAGCAACCACTACCCTAATCAGTCAGCAGCCATCAATATCAGGGCAAGACCCTCCACCAGCAAAAAGATTGTGACTTGCTGAAGGCTCAGATGATGGTTATCATTTTTTTTTTTAGCAATAAAGTATTTTTCAAATTAAGGTATGCACATTTTTAAGACATAATACTATTGAACACTTAATAGACAACAGTATAGTGTAAATGTACCCTTTATATGCACTGGGAAACCAAAAACTTCGTGTGACTCACTTTATTGCAATATTCACTTTATTGTGGTAGTCTGGAACAGAATCCAAAATATCTCTGAGGTATGCCTATAATCACAATCTCCTGTCCTTCCAGCCCTCCCTCTGCCTTACTCCTAAATCTATTCTTCATCC